GATGAATTGGTCATGTAGAACAAACCTAACAATTACTGATGTGTAAACTTACAACTCAATACTGTATAACAGTAGGTGGGTCATGAAATTTTCACATCAGTAATTGTTAGGTTTGTTCTACATGACCCACCTACTATTACACAGTGTTGTGTTGTAAATTTTCACATCAGTAATTGTTAGGTTTGTTCTACATGACCCACCTACTATTACACAGTGTTGTGTTGTAAATTTTTACATCAGTAATTGTTAGGTTTGTTCTACATGACCCACCTACTGTTACACAGTATTGTGTTGTAAATTGTTCCCATGCTAATAATTGTTACATCTGCTGTAAATGAACCACCTAAAGTTACACATGCTGTCTTTTACATCTTATTTCATATCTATTCTCTTCTACTGTGACAGCATTAAGATAGAAACTTACACAGTTATTTATCACTTGTATGTTTCTTCTTTGAATGTATGTTTTGAGAATACCATATTAAAGAAAATAAAACAATCTTGAAAAGTTAGAAATCAATAGAGAAACATTTATATGGAATAGAAGATCAATAAGATTTGTTTCTAAGATCCACCACCAGTTTGATGAGATTTCTGTATTTTCTCACACTTCTTTACATGGAATAGCAGATCGAGTAATTTTTTTTCTCTTTATAAGATCCACCACAAGTTTTGGGAAGTTTTTGTATTTTCTTTTTTTGGTTTGGTACTTAGTACTTTGGGATCTGTAGGATTTCAGGTGTTGATGAAACACTGCACTGCATGTAATTTTTTTGGAGGGTTCTATGTGAGAAAACTTTCTTCTAGTAATGGTATTTCTGTAATGTTTAGCTCAAAATTTGCACTTTCTTTTAAGTCATAGCACTACACGTACATATATGGGTTATGTAGAAGCATGCTTCACATTTTCTTCCTCTGTCTTTCACAGTATTCCTTCACATTCAACGAAGTCATGCCCATCACTTTACGGACGTACCGCACAGAACTGATAATAGACCGTGTGGCTTCACCTAGAACAGTAGAAGTGGATTTATATCCTTACATTGTAGAAGGAGAGACTGCTTTCCACACTGGGACTGTCACTCAAACTGTCAAGTACACTGTTGGTTCTGAAACTCCTGACTATGACACAGAGATGCAAAAATCATCCTCTACTTTCACGGTAAAAACTTCAGATACTTCGCCCACCATAGCTTTAAAGGCCAAACCTTTAATACCTTCAGAAGATTCATCATGGTTATCCTCGGTGGAGCCACCGAGCTCTTCAATGACCTTCTCTGAGATTAGGAGTGCCAAAAGATTACAGAAATGTGATCAGTCAACCAATACAGAACACATTGTTCTGATTAAAGGAATTACAAACACAGTAACACAGGAAAAACTTACAATCAGTGAAGCTATCGAAGAAAGTATTTTAAATGTTAAAACTGGTCAGTATTTAGATCTTAGGGCTGGTAGACGAATTAATATTGAAGATGCAGTTGTTCAAGGTTTGGTTGACTCTAATTTTGCTGATCGAATTACCGAAGTATGTGGCATTGTTGATAAGAAAACCGGTATTGAACTGACCGTTTTAGAGGCAATTCAGAAAGGTCTGTTTGATCCAAAAGAGGGGAACTTCCTAGACCCTAAAGAAGGTAGACCTTTAACTGTTGATGAGGCTGTGACTCTTGGAATTGTTAAAGAAAACAAGGTACAGCTCTTAGTTAACAAGGGGATCATCAAGACATCAAAACTGACCATCATCCAGGCTGTCCACAAGGGATTGATAAATGATGAAACTGGAGTTTATAAAGTACCAGGTTCAAGTGAATTACTGTCCATTCCTGAAGCCTTCACCCGAGGTTTTCTTGTGGGGGAACCTGCTATCCGAAGTGAAGGAGGAGTGACTCTTAAAGAAGCTCTTGAAAAAGGAATGGTGCATGAGAGGTCAGGCCAGATCCTCGATCATGTGTCTGGAGAGAGATTTACACTTGATGAAGCTGCTGACAGAGGAATTTTACATTCTGACTTTAAAGAAATTGTTGATTCATCCACAGGAGAATTTTTCACCATTTCTGAATCTATACAACATGGATTGATCAATCCACAAGTTGGGTGTTACATATCAAGTATAACACACAAGCAGGAAACGTTTCACCAAGCTCTTCAGCAAGGGTTAGTACGACAGCCTTTGGTTCTGAAAGATTTACTGAGGCAGGGATTACTAAGTGATGATGGAAAAGTAACTAATCCAGTTACTGGTCATAAACTCTCATTGTTAAAGGCAATGTCTTTTGGTGTTTTGGAAACAACAAAACAAACCATTGTTAACCCCAATACGCAAGAGTTAGTGACAATACCTGAAGCACTGGAGAAAGGCATTCTAACTCCACATGGACTATTTAAAAACACCAAGACTAAAGAGACCATTTCTCTTTCTGAGGCTGAAGATCAGGGGTTCATTGTTTCAGTTTGTTTTAAGAAGGTATTTGATGTAGAGGGAATAACAGATTCATCAGAAGAAGGGAATATTAGCTTTACAAAAGCAGTGAGTAGTGGTTTAATAGACCTTAGCTGTGGTAAGTTTGTTGATATGTCTACCGGGAAAAGAATTAATTTTGAAGAGGCTGAACAAAGAAAACTTATTCAGCCTCAGTTATATGAAATGTTAAGGGATAAAGTTGGTATTGTGGATGAAAGAGGTAGAGAACTGACACTTCTGGATGCTATTTTTAAAAGCTGTTTAGATTATAAAACTGGGCTGGTCAGAGAACCCCGAACCAAGAAACCACTTCCGTTGTATGAAGCTGTTTACAAAGGGTTTATAACCCAAGAGGGAGCTGCTGTTTTGAAAGGTCTGCTCAATATTAAGGTAAATGTGGTGGACACAAAGAAATTTACTCATTCTGTGACTGTGTCAAGACAGTGTAGAGAGAAGATGATCTACCAAAGTGAAGACTGTCAGGAGTTTGGTAATTTTATATATAAACAAGACATGAGAATACCAGTGTCTGAAACTCAAAGTTATGAGCCACGTACTTCACCTCCTGATGAACACATGGAAGTAAATGGTCTTCAGTCTCAAAGATTTTTTGATTCTAGTTATCATGAGGAAGAAGAAAAAAAAATCTTAAACATAAAACATTATCGTCAGAAAATAATTACTCAGGAAGAGAAAGTAAAATTATTCCAGTGTCATCTTCGTTTTCATCCCAAATGACAGATATTTCTGAGACATACAAAAATATCTCAAAAGAGACAACAGAGAATCAAAATCCAGAAAGACCTGCAAGTTTTGTTCCTACCATTACAGAGCTTAAATCATTTCAACTTAAGTTAGAAACTGAAGCTTCTCAAAAAAATAGAGAAAATACAGAAATAATGTTGGAGAGATACAAGAAAAATATTGTGCCTTCTACATCTGGGAAGCCTCCAGTGACTTATCACTCTAATGGAATGAATGCATATGATGATGAGAAGTTAACAAACAGTTTCCATACAATGAGTTGTACTAGAACCGTGCAGGTGCCACCTGGTGGCTGGTTTTTGGAAGATGCTATTCATCAGAATCTGTTTGATGCAGAATTAGGACATTTTCAAATCCCAGGGACTACAAAAAAAGTTTCTTTTAAGGAGACAATTACATTAGGTCTTGTCAATCCTAGATCTGCTTCTGTTTATGATCCATCAAGTAAAACATGGCTCTTTTTGTCAAGTTCATTAGACAGAGAGTTACTTGATGCTAATGGTAATTTTATTAATGTCAGAAGGAAAGAATATCTTCCTATGAAAGAAGCAATTCAAAGAAATCTCATCATGTTTGAAAAACCAATGGACATTGAGTATAAAACAACTAAGGTTATCTATATATCTCAGGCTGAAGGTCAACCAGATCAAATTGAAATACTAACTGAACCCTGTCCTCAGCCTGCTGTTCCTGTAGAGTCTAAACCTAAATTGGTATTTTCTGAAATAAAAAGTACTCCGATAGTATCCACAGAAGATAAAAGTGTTTCTACCTTTTCTCAAGGCTGTGTAAAGGTGGCGCCAGGTTTGTTTTATGAATTAGGGACAGGAGATGTCCTTGAACAGCATAGTGGAAAGAAAATGAAGTTGATGGAAGCTGTTAATATGGGTACAGTTGATGGCAGACAGTTTCAGGTATTTAATTCCATAAGAGGTGAAAAATTTAACCTTATTGAAGCTATTGATGCTGGTCTTGTAGATAGACAAAGTGGAGATTACATTCACCCAACACTGCGTAAAAGAATTCCATTGAAAGAAGCTGTAATGGAAGGTCTGTTATACTTCTTTCCTGGAGATGAAAATCTTTTCAGTCAGACTTTATTAACATCTGCAAGTGAACAATCTCAAGTTCATAACTTAACCAAGCCTCTTACCAGTAGTGAACAAGTCAAGATCAATGATCTGATTAGGACCACCAATATCTCAGACTTTACGCAATTCAGAGTCACTGATGCACTAACTGGACAAGACCTTGCTTTAGAAGAAGTGACAGCTAGAGGATTAACTGAACCCACAGCAAGTGAGCAGTATACAGAATCTTTCAAACATCAAACTTATGTGCAGGCTTCTGAAGAAAACCTTATAATTAACAAATCACACACAGTTAACATTCGAGAGCCAAAAACAGGCCGTGAGATGACTCTAGAGGAAGCATTGGAAGAAGGCTTAATAAATGCTGACATGATTTCCAAAATCCATCATGGATGGCAGCTACAAGGTTATGAAGTCAGTACAGCCATCTCTGTAACAGTTGTTGACCCAATAAGTGGTGCACCATTATCCTTAGAGACTGCTATCGCTAGAGGTTTGATTGGGTCTGATACAATTGAAAAGATCAAAAGGAGAGAGGATATTGAAGTAATTTCTACTAAACATAAAGATGTTATCGATGGTAAGAAAATGCCTTTAAATGACCAGTCCTCAGAAGGTGAGCATCAGCCTCATCCTTGTATCGAAACATTTCCAACAAGGTATCTTGGTAATGAAAGTATTAGAATACCATCTCCTGATCCAAAGAGTAGAATATCTGAGCCTAGATTTGAAGTTACTTTTGGTAGAGCCAGATCAATTGAATCTCCACAAAAGAAGGCTCTTGTACCTCACAAAGTTCGGAGAAGACCTGTTGTCCCAAAAGATGCTGCAAAAAAAGGACTTCTAGATGATAAAACGGCAAAAATTCTGGATTCTGCTAAGGTCCTGACTGGTCCAAATGGTCATCAAATGAGTTTGAAGGAAGCTATTAGATTAAATCTGATAGATGGCAATAGTGGAGCTATACCTGATCCATATAGAGGTGAAAAATTAACAATAAAAGAAGCCCTTGAGAAAGGCCTTCTAGATCCGGCAAGTGGCACTTTGTTAATGCCAGTGGGTCGTAGTTTAACTCTGCCAGAAGCTGTATTTCAAGGTCTGGTACAGCCTGTGATGCAAAGAATTATTCATCCAGAGATTGGTGAGATTTTACCATTATATGAAGCCATCGGTTGTGAAATCATCAATCCAGTTTCTCAGGTTGTTCATCCTGTTTCACACCAACATATCACCCTGGAAGAGGCAGTCAGCAAAGGTATCATTGACCACATCACTGCTGAAGTGCACATGCCTATTGGTAAAATTAGTTTGGTTGAAGCTGTACAAAAACATAATGTTTTTGATCAGCCTTCCATTGTCCAAGAGGAGTTTTTACCTCCACTAGGCTTTACATTTCCTGTTGCTCTAGAGCACAGATTTATAGACACCATCACTGCTGAATTTATTCATCCAGTAACTGCAAATCGCATTCCACTAGAAGAGGCCATGTTTTGTGGTTTGATCATGGTTGTTCCTGTTCCACCACTCCCACACAGTGTTAACATAATAGAGGCTTTACAGAAAAGAATGATTAATCCTGATCATTGCTCTATCAAACATCCTACCACTGGCCAGGAAATCGCTGTCAGAGAAGCAGTGGACAACGGTCTCCTACAGATAACACCTATGACTGGCCAAGCAGAAGTAAAATCTAGTGTTTCTCAAATCACAACTTGGCAGTCTTCTAAATCATTCCTCCCAGATGGGTTCATATTGGACCCCAGTTACATTATGGTTGGACCTGATGAGGTAAAGTATACTAGGACTGGTCAAGTGATGACTGTCACGGATGCCCAGAATCGTGGTATAATGAGGAAAATTACAGAAGGTGGTACACATGCTCTTCCAATGACTATTACAGAAGCTCTGAAATGTGGCACAGTAGACTTGCAAGAAGGAACATTTACTTTTGGTACTGGCCGTGATCCAATACCCATATATCATGCTATAACTAGAGGTCTTGTTGTGGAAGATGACAAACCCATAGAGGGAGTAAAAAAATATACAGTAATGCAGGCATGTAAGTACCTCTATGATACCAGAATTGAAATGTTCAAAGAACCAGAAATGGGAAGATATACATCTTTTACCAGGTTGGTCAAGTTAGGGGTGATTGATTTGGATCATTTTTTGTATGATACTCACACAAGAGAACTCATGACAGTGGAAGAGGCTTTGCATCAAGGTAAGTTGGATGGAAAAACTGGAAAATTTATTGATTCTGTCAACAACAAAAAGATTTATGTCACTGAAGCAACCAAGTTAGGGTTATTATTATGTATTGATAGGTCATGTCTTGAAAATCAAGCTGAATATGTTAAAGTGAAGAAAATGCCACCTTCAGTAGAGGCAAAACCTTGTGCTGATTTATCTCCAGAAGCTGATGATAAAAAACCCAAAGAAAAGGCTTCATTCGGAGTACATTTCCAAGAGGATTCACTGAGAAGTACAAATCATGATGTGAAACCCATTTCCAATGAAAGAATTTGCTTACAAGAAGCACTAGCGAATGGAATTATTAACCGAGAAAGAACCCATATCACTATACCTAGTATTGGCCAAAGACTGAAATTGCAGTATGCATTACAGAACAACCTTGTTTCTGAAAACAGCATTATTGAATTACGCAGCAGAACAGAAGCTGTGCTGATTGAACAGTCTACCCAACTACTAGTGGATGACCCACTGAGTATGGCCTTTGCTGTTAAACATGGATTTTATGATCAAGAAGAAGGTGTTTTCTTGAACCCAGAAACTGGAAGTTACCAACCATTCTCAGACTTTGTGTCACTTGGTGTATTAGATGCACACAGAATAAAAGTCAAAGATCTTCGTTCTTGTGAATATGTGAGTCTGTCAGAAGCACTTTACACTGTTATAATAGATAGGAATACTGGCCAAATGGTAGACCCCAAAACAGGTGAAAGAGTTCCATTCTTTGATGCTGTTAAACGTGGATGGATTATTTATCTTCAGGACACAGATAGAGATCATAAAGTTAATAAGCCTATGACTTTCAAGTATGCAATAGAAAATGGCTTATTTGATGGCAATAAAGGATTGGTTAAGTGTACAGCCTCTTCAGAACCAATTCCTTTAGGAAAGGCATTAATATCAGGAGAATTAGACTCTAGTTCTGTTTCTGTTTACAATCCAAAGATGGAGGATATAATGACTGTGAAAGAAGCTGAAAAAGCTGATATCCTTGATCTTGCTACTAATATTTATATAAATCCCATAACTTCCCAGGAAATATCTTTAGCAACAGCTTATAAGAGAGGGTTGATTCTTGTTTCACAACGACCGATGTCTTTGGAAGCCGTCATCAAGAAAGGTCTTTATAACCCAACTTCTGGGTCTGTTAAAGACCCAGTTACTAATCAACAGATGGATCTTGACCAGGCTATCAAAAAAGGTCTTATAGATGCTTTTATCACTGAAGTGAAAGACACCAAAAATGATAACCTGCTATCCCTAGATGAAGCATTAGAGATGCGTATTGTCATGTCAAAATCTGGAAAAATGAAAGATACAGCTAGAAATTCCACTCTGTCTTTAGATGTGGCTTTACGTAAAGGCTTGATAGTGACAAATCGTATACAGATGTCTCTTGTTGATGCTGTTAACCAGGGTCTGTATATAGCAGATACAGGAAGATTCTCAGATCCAGCCACTGGAAATGAAGTAACTCTTTCTGAAGCTGTTTCTATTGGATTCATAGATGTTGAGTCAGTGAGGGTGAAAGACATCCAGTCTGACTCATTGGTCAGCTTGAAAGAAGCCATGGCCACTGGATTGGTGGATAAAGAAGCAGGAATATTAACTTTTCCTAATCCTATGTCACTAGATATTGCACTTTTGAAAGGATTTTTTGTAACAACAAGGTTTCCCTGGGCTCTCCAGGAGGCTCTAGAACATAGAATGTATGATCCAGAAACAGGATTAATGATTGATCCAGGCAGTGAAGAAAAGATAACACTTGAAGAAGCCATTAGGCGTGGCTGGGTTGATCGTGAGGCCTTAACTTTGAAGGATCCAAGGTCAAGTGACATTTTAAGCTTGTCAGAGGCTATTCGTGTTGGAATAATTGATCCAGTTTCAGGCATGGTTACTGATCCAACTGTAGGGTCAGAGATGCATTTATTTGATGCTCTTGATCGAGGCTTAATCATTCCTGCAAAGAGGAGGTTTTCACTTCCAGAGGCTATCTATAAAGGGTTTTATGACCCCAAAACTGGCAGATTTGTAAGTCCAGATTCACAGGAAAAACTGTCTACTGACCGTGCTTTACGTGGTGGGTTTATTGACTCGGCCTCAACCCTGGTTAGGGATGAAATGTTAGGTCAAATTTTTCCTTTTCATCAAGCTGTGGAAAATGGAATTATTGATATTAAGGAAGGAAAAGTCAAAGTAAATAAAATAGGAAAGAAAATCAATTTCCAGGCAGCTTTTGACCAAGGACTTTTGATAGAAATCAGAAGACCATTGACCCTGTGGGAAGCTATTCAGAAAGGTGTATATAATGAGGTAAATAGCAAGTTCTTGGACCCAGCAAGTGGCCAATGGCTTACCTTAAAAGAAGCTATTGCTTGCCAATTAATTGACCCAGATTCTGTGCATGTCAAAGACACTAGGACTGGGTTCTTAAAGAAGCTTACTCTGATCAATGCTATTGAAGCTGGACTTGTCAACGGGGAATCTGGAAAGATTGTACAGCCAGATGGACAAGAGGTTTCTTTGGTAATAGCCTTCAAGTTAGGATTAATTATTGAAAGTAAAATGGCTCTCTCTATACAGAAAGCAATCCATCAAGGATTTTATAGTGAAGAAACAGGGAAATTTACTGATCCAAACACGGGGAAAAAAATTACTCTTCATGAAGCCATTCGTCGTTTTGTTATAAATGCTTACCTTCCATGTTACTGGGATAAGTCTAATTACAAGCTGTTAAACTTGATTGAAACAGTTAGGGCTGGTGTGATAGACCGCAGAGCTGGAACATTTAGAAATCCAAGTTTTAACCTAGACATGCCCCTCAACTTGGCTCTTGAAAAAGGTCTGATTGTAGATATTGAACAACCTTTCGGTTTGTACGATGCCTTATCAATGGGTCTGTATGAAGTGCAGAGTTCCAAATTTGTTCACCCAACCAATGGGCGACATCTGTCACTAGAAGAAGCACTTAAGGAAGAGGTTATAAATCCTCATATATCAATAGTTAAAAATAAAAGAACTGGTAAGTATCTAAAGTTGATTGAAGCCATTAATACCAAAATTATCAATCCATGTAGAAGTTGCTATCTAATTCCTGGCACTACTCAGGAGTATAATTTGTATGAAGCTTTAGAGGAAGGCTGGATTGTGAGTGCCAACAAACCACTGACTCTTGAGGAAGCTGTAAAAATGAAACTTTTCCACATGGAAAGTGGGAAATTTACCGATCCCTTAATTGGTGACCAATTGGACCTTGCTCAAGCAATTGAACATGGCCTTATAGATGGACAAACAACTTCTGTCAGAGATTCTAACACTGGAAAGCTGAAATCCATTCGCAGTGCAATGGAAGAAGGTGTTGTCAGTGTTCAGGATGGTACAGTGAAAGACCCTACCTGTGGGAGGATGATACCTCTTCCACTGGGATTTGATCGTGGTATTCTGGTTACTACAGAGAAACCTATTACATTTCAACAGGCTGTTCGGAGAGGTTCCATTGACTTTTTGAAAGGAACTTTCAAAGATCCAAGGACCAAGATAGAGTGCACTCTAGAGGAGGCTGTCAGACATGAGTTGATAGATCCAGAGTCAGCTGTGGTGAAGGATCCAAATACTGGCTTTTTCAAGACTGTCAAAGCAGCAATTAGAGAAGAATTAATTGATATAAAAAAAAGAGCAATGTTTGACCATAACACTGGGAAGGCTAAAACTTTAACCATTATTTTTGACCAAGGAACTGTTATTTTCTTAAGAGAACCCATGACATTTGACAAAGCAGTGGACAGTGGCAGTCTGAATATGGTCACTGGTCTGTTCAAAGATCCAGAGTCTAAAGAAATTCTGATTTTTCATGAAGCTATTAGACTTGGATTGGTGGATCCAGACTCTGCTGTTGTTAAAGATACAAAAAAAAAGAGGGTTTTGAAACTGAGTAATGCTTTCATTGAAGGTGTGCTGGACCCAGACAAGAGCACAGTTCTCAATACAGCCACTGGTCAGTTCTTAACTATTGGTGCTGCGTATGAATCTTCCTTGATTATTACTCCAAGTAGAGCACTATCATTAATCGAATCCTTAGAGTATGGAATATATGATCCTGATAATGGTTTATTTGAAGAACCATTCAGTGGGAAACTAATTAACTTAAAAGAAGCCATTGAGTCAGGATTAATAGACACAACAGTTACAGTAATAAGAGATCCAAGCACAGGACGTATACTAACAATCCAGCAAGCCATCCAAGAAGGCTTGCTGGATCCAAAAACAGGCTACATCATAGATCCTGGGACAGGCAGAACAGTTAACCTTTTGGATGCCCTGAAGAATGGGTGGCTGATTCCGGCAGAAGCCAGGGTAAGATCTGCATGGAACCAGACAAAAAATGCATTTGCTGCCTGGAACTCGGCAAATATTTTCTTCCCTCTTTGATACTGATTGGCTGATCTAGTTTGCCTTTGACCATTATCTTTGTGTGTGGTCAGCTCCCTTACCTGGTTCTTTAGCATGTATTGTTCTTTATGCCTATTGTTCTCTTCTTCACAGGTCTCCAGACGTGGATGTTCTCACTGTTACCTCTGAGTAGAGCAGAAGCCGTGAGGATACATCTTGTCCTGAAATCTGAAAATACGTCTTACAAAATATACCTGCTTATTATTGCTTAATAACTGCTACAGCATTATTTACTTACCGGACTTAACAGAATAACCACTTGCAACATATCTATCACTAAATTAACGTGGTTGGCATGGGATTGTTTTAACATTCTGCTTGGCTTAAACTAAGGAATGTTGGTTTAACACGCAGTACTTCAACATTGAGCATGATGAATTTGTAGTTTCTAAAAGTAGTTTGTAGTTACATGTTGTAGCATTTCTAACTTAAAACTATTATTATTATGTAGTTTTCTAACTTTTAAAAGAAAATACTTATTCTTTTTAACAGTTATTGTTTTTTCATAATTAATGTTGTTATGCTTCACATAAAATTTCTTAGTTAGCAGGTAATAGTTTTTTATGGATTTTCAGCTAAATAGTGCAGTAATGTTTCAAAATTATGTCTTAACTGTAATCTGTGACGAAAATAAAACTAATGCATTACTTTGTTCATTCTTTAATACATAATGGCTGTTGTAGTTTATGATGTATGTGTGATCATGTTGCTAAAGTTAGTAAGAAAACCTCTGGTACATCTACAGATGGCTGTCGAGGAAAAATACAGACTCTGCGATGACAGTCTTTCAAAGTTACTAACTTGGATTGCAGATGTAGAGATGCAACTTGCTGAACTTGGACTGGTGAGAGAAAATGTTGATGAACTTCAGCAACAGCTCGACTCGGCAAAGGTAAATGTGTGTTCGTGTAAAAAAACACCACCACCACTATAACTTTAATAATAATTCAATAATTATATTACACAGAAATAAATGGTAAACTCGGATATGAAATGCTTGCAAAATGTCTAAATATATCATTCTTAAAATAAATAAAACAAATTAGTATACTTCCTGCCTGTGGTTCAGTATATGTTTTTAGAATTATATGGGAGATGCCGTCTATAGTTATAGTTTAGAATACGCAGTTCATTTAGAAGTTGAGCAATAAGTGAAAATCTGATATTCACATAGTATAGTGAGAAAGAGAGAAACAGTTATGTTTTATTAAAAATAACCACACCAATTTTTCTAAGTTTCACACAGAAAAGCATAACTCTATAACTATTTCAAAATTTATCTCAATATTTTCTAAGTTGTCTTTGTATAAACATTTCATTATTAAACATATATATGTCATACAATACAGCAATGTTATTAGCTGCAATGCATAGTAAATATGGGTGATTGAGTGTTATTGTGAAGTGTATTTATTGAGATTTAATGGTTACAAAAAGAACAATTTTTCAAGAGTACATAAAGTTTACTCTGACTATTCTAGTAACATTTCATTATTAAACATATATATGTCATACAATACAGCAATGTTATTAGCTGCAATGCATAATAAATGTTGACGTTCTCTTCTTTAATTTTTCATGAGTTCAAAAAAACTAGAGATAGTTTCCAAACAAGTACAAGAAAACATCGAGTAACTAATGTAATATCATTAGTCAGTTTAGGCTATTTTAGTTATAAAGAAAGAAGTTTTTTATTTTTTTCCAAATATCACAATGCCTTTTATTTTGCACATTCACTTAACCAAATCAATAAAACCTCTAAATCTTGCATCACCTAGTATAAGAAGCTCAGTATATACACTTTTAGCTTGCATGAATTAAAATATGGAACTTGTCTTATTAACTTCTAGTTTATATTATTCAACAATGAACCTTGGCTTGTGCATTTTTAGTTTGTAATGTTGAACAGATGAACCTTGGCTTGTGCATTTCTAATTTTTAATGTTGAACACATGAATCTTGGGTTGTGCATTTCTAGTTTGTAATGTTGAAAAGATGAACCTTGGCTTGTGCATTTCTAGTTTGTAATGTTGAACACATGAACCTTGGCTTGTGCATTTCTAGTTTGTAATGTTGAAAAGATTAACCTTGGCTTGTGCATTTCTAGTTTGTAATGTTGAACACATGAACCTTGGCTTGTGCATTTCTAGTTTGTAATGTTGAACACATGAACCTTGGCTTGTGCATTTCTAATTTGTAATGTTTCAATGCTTCAAAGCATTAACTGTTCTACAGTCTCATGTTGGACTATATTTCAATGTTTCAAAGCATTAACTGTTCTACAGTCTCATGTTGGACTATGTTTCAATGCTTCAAAGCGTTAACTGTTCTACAGTCTCATGTTGGACTATGTTTCAATGCTTCAAAGTGTTAACTGTTCTACAGTCTCATGTTGGACTATGTTTCAATGCTTCAAAGCATTAACTGTTCTACAGTCTCATGTTGGACTATGTTTCAATGCTTCAAAGCATTAACTGTTCTACAGTCTCATGTTGGACTATGTTTCAATGCTTCAAAGCATTAACTGTTCTACAGTCTCATGTTGGACTATGTTTCAGTGCTTCAAAGCATTAAGTATTCTACAGTTTCATGTCGTATTTTGTTTCAATGCTTCAAAGCATTAACTGTTCTACAGTTTCATGTCGGATTTTGTTTCAATGCTTTATCTTCAGGAGTGTAATTTACAAGATCTCATACACTCTTTCTACATTTTCCTCAATCATGTGATTTTTTATTTAAATTATTATTATCTGTCGTTTATTTACATTCTGCCCCATTAATCTCTCATCCTTGTGTAATACATTCTCATTGTGTTTTTTAGATATAATTGTCCCAGTAATTCACAAATAACACCAATGAACAGCAAGGGACCTTTTGGTCCATCTAGTCTGTCTTATCCACTAAATTAAACTAGAATTAAATTAAATTAAAACTGGTATATATTACTTGTGGTGAGTAAAGAACAGCTGATATCCACTAAATTAAACTAAAAAAAACAACTTAAAGCCAGCTCTTATCATTAAAAAATTTATCAAGCTTTCCCTTAAATTAACGCATCGAAAAGCAACCTGTTCCAGAGGTGTTAGAGAAATAAAGCTGTCTTAGCTGAAGATGATTTCTTTCTTGCTAAAATTTATATTTGTCTCCTAGTCTTATGTCTTACCATTCTCACCATTAAGTATGAAAAAAGATGATGCATCAACACTATCAGTTCCCTTAACAATCTTAAACACCTCAATCAGATCCCCTCTAACTCTTTTTTTTCAAGAGAAAACAAGTTCAGAGATCTTAACTTATCCTCATATGATAACATTCTGTAAAGTGATATCATCCTCCTTGCATCTAGTAACACCTAAAACTTTAATATGATCAGCAAATTTAAATAATCTATTGAATATTTCTGGTGCTGTCAGTGTTTTAGGGCAGGCTAATAATGTAATATTTTCCCACTTGATTATATGCTATGTTCTATGAAACATCTGTTTTATATTTTTAACACTTTGCTTATGTTCATTTTCTCTTTGTTGTAGATTCCTTTTTGTCTCATGTATGTGCATGCTTCCACATTCACAACTTATTTTATGATTACCTGTTTTTCCACCTTATTCACTTTAGTTTTACTTAATAATTCATTTACTAATTAATGCGTTTATATAGAGAGTAAAAACATCGTAAAATGATGCTTTGAAGTTTCAAAACATACAGAATCAATTTGACACCATATATCAGTCTCAAATAAAAATATATGTTATTGTTTAAAGCAGAAAAGACTGTTTTTTAATTTAATTTAACTATCCATAGAAGAATTTTTATTACCCAAAGGAAGGATCAATTGATGGATCAGTTGTTTCTTGGTTATGTACTTGACTAGCAGGAATGATTAAATCACACAGGTTATAAAGGATCACCTAGATGATCAGCAGAGGCCAGTCACTACCTGCTTGGATCAAGTTCGTCAAGTTGTTCAACAAGGAGCTGATGTTCTGAGCAAGGATGAGATTCATCAAATCCAGAAGGACTCGGATAACCTCAAGAAACGCTACGATAGAACAAACACAGAATGTGAAAGGATTGTTAGAAAACTTACCTCAGCTCAAGATGAGCTAAGGAAGTTCTCCGTAAGTGGGATCGAGGTCACCAAAGATAATTTGTTGACATCGATAAAGAAAACAATTTTGTTTGAAAATAATCTCATGATCTCTTTTAGATTTATATGATGATTATTGCCATTTTATATTCACCTTAGAATGATTATAATCTACATACTTTTAATGAGTAAACCTACTTTATTTTTGTATTATCACTGGGATATTGTTTAAGTAATTAACTTGCCTTTATGGGTGTTACTGAGAATGTAAATTGAGTTTTTGCACTTAAATAGAGTGAACACCAAACATTCAGAGACTGGCTGCATCGTGCTCAGCAAACTCTCGTGGAGAAGGAGAAAGACATGGGTGATCTCCACCGTCTCAAGGACAGTAGTGACAGTTATCGTGTAAGATTTCTGGCTTTATCTTTGTAGATTAATCAGTTTTTTGCTTAGGAGAAAAACATAGATAACCTGTGCCATCTTAGGGACAGCAGTAACTGTTATTGTGTAAGAATTTTGTCAATGCTTTTGTAGTTTAATCAGTTTTTTGTGTAGGAGGAGGTTTTTCTTGGTAGTTTTTGTGGAGAAGGAGAAAGACGTGGGTGACATGTCTCAACTCAGGGACAGCAGGATGTATAAGTTTGTGGCAACAAAATACTTTATAAAAAAACTTATCAAAATGATTTTATTTTTTAGGTTTTTGTGAATTAAAACATTAATTTTTGAGGTCTTTGTTTAGCATATAAAAGGAAAACCCAATTTTTCAGTTAACTTAAACTGTAAATTGAGTTACGCATGAGGGGTGGAGTCCATCCCTGTGGAAACTTTTGAAATTTAAACTTGAAATGATACGTTCTTATGACATATTTGCTTGTGTAATCTATATGAAAAAATTTACAGCCAACATAAATGTGTGTGCCCTTGCCGATGTTTAATTTTAAAGACTAGATGAGAGAGCTGAAATTAAAATGTTCTAAGAATGTTTGTAATGTAAACTAGTCAGATGATAACACTACTCTTTTTTATTACAACATGGGAACTATTGATCCATTTCGGGTGTTCCATTCTCTAAACTATACTAAAACTATTAATAAATAAATTCTAAAAAATCTTAGTCAGCCCTTATTATTCATATACTTATCAAGGTTTCTCTTAAACTCACTTAAATTTACTGCCTCCACAACATCTGAAGGCAACCCATTCCAAAGGCCAACCACTGTGTTAGAAAAATAAAACTGTCTTAGCTGAAGATGACTCCTAACTTGCCAAAAATTTATATTTATGTTCCCTTGTCCTAGTATTCTTGTCATTAAGTATGAAAAAAGATGATGCATCAACACTATCAGTTCCCTTTACAATCTTAAACACCTCATATAAATATTTAGTAATAAGTTGCATTAAATCAACAGTTGGGTAAGCTTGCTCTTAACAGTGCCCTTGGTTGTAAATCTGTTACTTAATACTTGGAATTTGTGATTATATAGAACTTCTGAGTATTGTTATAAATTTTATGGAAGTTGTTATTTACAGCAGACCATTTCTGTTAATAAAGTGTTGAATAACATGTACAATTTTTATTCGGTGTGTGGGGCCGAAGAAGTGAACAGTAATGTTTCATTTGTTCCTTTAAACAGGTGTTTGCAAATGATGTTTTAGCCCATCAAGCAGACTTGCGATTTATTACTATGGCTGCCCAAAAGTTTATGGATGAATCAAAGGTATGATTATAGATTAGTGTCTGTAAATGTCAACTCAGGTGATATGTAGAGATTTCTTATCTTGAGAAACATATGAATACTTTTTGTATGATTAGTCTTGGTTAACAAAATACTTTAGTTTGTTTAATGTAATCATTCTGTCACAGATCATGATTCTGTAACTGACATGTTCTTACATTACACAGGAATACACCAAAGTCTTGAATGACTTCAGAACTAATCTTCCTCATCGTCTTTCTTATCTGGAACCAAGGGATAGTATGGTCAAAACTGATGTAGCAAAAGTGACTTCAGCTTATCAGGACTTGTTATCCCAGGTCACCCGCCTCAGTGACCAGTTGTTTGGACTAGGTGAGAAACAGAGACATTATGCAGACTGTGTAGAAAAGGCTACAATGTGGCTCACAGATGTTCAGAAAACTGCCAAGAAACTGATAGAGGAACCAGTGGCAGCTGAACCTAGAATCGTACAAGATCAGCTTGACAGAGTAAAGGCTCTCAGCCTGGACGTTGTCAGTCAGAGCCGTCTAATCACCAGTGTTAAGCAAGCTGGTAAGTCCCTGTTAGACAGCTTAGAGGAAACTGATGTCAGTCAGGCAGAAAAGGAATCGGTTAAGAATAGAGTTAAAAAGTTGGAAGATGACTACAACAAGCTTAACAGTAGCCTCAACGAGAAGAGCAATGAGCTTCAGACAGTACTTGTTCACTCTCAGGACATTCAAGATGGAATTGACCGACTGTTGAAGTGGCTAGATGAAGCTGAAGGAAAGCAGCGTAGTCAGAGCAAGTCTGTAAGTCTTGTCCGTGAACGTCTAGAGGAACAGGTAAGTTTGAACTTGGAGTAACTTTAGACATTTTATTACATCAAGATAATTTTTTACTGAATAGAGGAGATGAGTAGTGTTTCCGAGCAGAGACATTTATGTAGTTTGTGTATAATAAGTTATTTTGTTTTATGCTGATTGATTACATATTTGCAATGCGTATATATTGTTCTTAATGGATGGTTTAGAATCTAATTCAGTTAGAACATTTTTGTGAGTAATAGATTTTAATTCATTATCTATCAAAAATATATTTGAAGTAGTATTATTTACAAAAAATGTAAAAAGAAATTTTAAATTGGTAAGTACAAAATAGGCCAACATGTGTGTTTGGTAATCCTATGATAAATGTCTGTTCTTCATACTTCAGGTGCAGGAACACAGGATATTTCAGTCGGATATTAACAGTCAGAGACCGACTATTGATGCTGTAAATAACTCTGCAAAAGATTTACTCAACAGCTCCAATCCTAGGCTTACCAAGAAAGTTGAATCAAAACTGCGTGATGTAAACACAAGATTCGAAAAGTTATGTGACAGAGCCCATAAAAGAAAAGAATTGTTGGACGAGGTATTTTTTTTTAACATACACCATTAAGATTGATTTTAATGGATAAAGAAAGTTGCTTTGTTTTTGACTAAATATATTGGATTGTAAAAGCTACTTATTCTGTAAACAAATGTCAGAGAAAATTTGTTTTCTTAAACAAAGAAAAATTTGTTAGAAACTAATGTGTTGTGTAAAAGTGGTATTAAAACTTGAAGTAAAAGTTTAAATTTAAAATAAAAAACAAAAGTTGTACATCGTAAAAAAAAACTAAATAATAAAGTAGCTTAAAAAATGTAATAAAGATAAGTGATATCTAAAAGACAAAAAATTGCACTTTAGGGATACATGTATATTCCGAAGAAGGAATGAAATAATTTTTGGTAAACTTTTCTATTGAAAAGTAATTATTCATAGTTAATGTCCATTTTTCTTGTGAAATGAAGGTATTAATAAGAACTTCTGAGAGAAAGTAATGAAGAGTGTGTTATAATAATAAAGATACTGTGATAGTTGAGATGCTTCTTACATAAGCAAATTGCTTTAACACCAATGCTGTGGTCTGAATCAGATTAAATAAGGTGGTAAAAGATTATTCATAGTCTTTATGTATATCATGTGTAAAAGAGAAAATTATTCAGGAGATATTTATTTTCTTAACAGAAATAAAGCAATTGAATTAAATAATATATATTTATTAGGAAGGAATAAAAGTTTGAACTAGTTAAAGATTCTTAGAGTCCAGCATTTGTTTGCTTTGGACAAAAGAAGATCCTTGAGTGTGAAGTTTTTATGAAACTGTAAAGTCTTTTCTTTAGATATCAGCATTATTGTCATCATTTGAAAAGCTGGCTAGTCATGTTGAAGAATCTTTTGACCACATGTTAGAGTCTGTAGAAGGATACGACAATCAGCAGTTAAGTGCTCATGAATATGCAACCCATATTGAAGATGTGTTGAATCAACGCAATTCCAAAAAGGACGACTTTGAGCAAGTTGTCGCAACTGGTAAAAGTCTGGTGAGTAAGAGAGATGTAACGGATACCACGACAGTTAAGGAGAAGATCAGGAGCCTTGAGCTACTGTGGAAAGAGCTTTATGATGCTCTATTGGAGAGACAGAAGGCTGGAAAAGTCCGTGCCGAACAGCTCTCAGCATATGAGACTCTCAGGCAAAAGGTGTTTAGCTGGTTGACCACCATGGAAACCAAGGTGGAAAATCTTGGTCCTGTTGCCGTAGAAAAGGAGATGCTGCGGAAACAAGCCATGGAGATTAAAGTTAGTTTCACTAACACAAAACCATTATAATTTCTGTATATAGACTGTTTAAAATTATTTTCAATTTGATATTAAGTAAGGTGGGGTACTGTAATGTGTGTGAAAAGAGACAATGTATGAAAAATAAGTTAGGTTTGATGTTGGCAAAGCTACGATTCTTTAATTTCTGGAAGTAACTGGAGAATAAGAACAGATTCTGTACATGTTATAATGAGGTATTTGAGGTCCATTATAGTAATTGTTTTTTTTATCTTTGAAGAACAGTACTAATGATAATTGTAAGTGATATTTATTTTAAATAAAGCCTATCTATTTGATATCATGTAAAGCTACTATGATTAAGCTTTATGTCAAGGATTATGTGAAGATTTATTTCTCTACAATTTCTACATCACAGTTTTTCCTAATTTTAGCCCCTGGTCAAGGAACATTCAGACTATGCAATCACTATTGATAAAGTCAATGATTTGGGAAATTCTTATGATGCTATTTTAAGAGGAGAGCCAGCTCGTAGACTTTCGGGTAGTCCAATAAAAAGATCTTCCATTGGCTCACCAACATCCACCTTCAGAAAGGCTTCATCTAGTGAGTGAAACATTTTTTAGGTTTGAATAATAGCATTTAAATACATGGTTACTGATGTTGAAATACATGATTATAGATGTTCAACTCGCAACTTTAGAAGAAACTCTTCTCTAATATAACACAACTCATAGTTAGGTGTCACATTATCTTTTAGTACTGATTAGTATGTTTACATCTTGGTAAAGTTAGCATGTAACTCATCAAAAAACTATTAGTACCTCATATAGTGTTATGATTTGCCATTAGAGTTTTTTATACATGGTTAGCTTGTGAAAGAATTTAATTAGTACCTCATATAGTGTTACCATTTGGTGTTAGAAGTGAATATATAGTTAGTATTTGAAAGAGCTAATATAGTACCTCGTATAGTGTTATAATTTGATGTTAGAAGTGATTACATGGCTAGACCATGAAAGAGTTAATATAGTACCTCATATAGTGTTATAATTTGGTGTTAGAAGTTAATACAAAGTTAGAGTGTGAAAGAGCTAATATAGTATCTATTGTTCTGTGATAATCTGATTCTTTGACAGATTCCATAAACAGAGGCTGATTCATGGTGTGTACTTTGAAGAGAAAATTTGCCTGGAAAAGATCAATTTCAATATGGTACATTACCTCCTCTCACATAAATAGCTATTTTCATTGATTGCCCTCTATACTCAAAAAAATTTTTTATGCATGCCTCAAGCCTTCTATCTCCCCTCCATTGAAATTGACTGATTCCAATGCATCTGCCATGTAAATCATCATGCATCAACCCTCCACCAATAAGAGTGTGACATACTCTCATGATGCATGCGACTCCCTCTATTCAATTCTACCAAACTATTACTTCTCATTTGGCAGTACTTGTGTTCATACGTTTTTTTCTTTAGTGTTCTTCGTGTGAATCGCGATTGTAATAGTTTAATTTCTGAAGTGGGATTCCTTCATTATTATTTTTTTTCTTTACATTAAAGAAATCTTTTAATTTAACTTAATTTCCCAGTCTTTATTTTTTTTTCTCACACTCGTATATTTTACATCAAACACTTTTGTTTGACTTATTTCTAAATTTATTTCTGAGGTTCATGTTCTCACTTTGGGTGTTATACCTCTATCACTATTTTCACAGGTGGCAGGTGGGAGAGACCTGTCGTTTGATTTCTCGGCTATTATCCATCATGAGATTGATTTTTTATATGGGTCAACCTTTTTCTCCTGAACTTGCCCCAATAATCCTCCTGAACAAGCCGAACCTGTTTGGGCCAAAGGAGATTTTATAGCCTTTTTACACCACCAGATTTTGCAGTGTTTTTCCTACCCCTCCTGCAGAATCATCTAGGCCTAATATATTATTTTTTGACATGATTTCTATATATGTTATGTTTTATCCAATTCCCCATTTTTCTATTATTTCTTATTACCTCCATGTTCGCTTGTTTGTTGTCTTCGGCTCTTGTTTTATACATGTGGTTTCACTGTAGTTGGGATTTTCTGGGTCATGATGCAACCATGTCCTGGGTATGTTTGTTGCCTCTTTGTTTTTGGGATTTCTGTATTTTTTCTTTGATAATATGTTTTCAGTTGTGTATCTGAGACTTTGGAGTCTCATTTGTAATCTGTGCATCAACACTCTAGCCTTCCTCATTGGTTGCATGTTTGTCGCATTTGGAGCCATGACATGCCTCTATTTCTTTCTCCTCCTGGTCCTTATATACCCGCCCCTTTCCACCTTCCAGGGGTTCCTTATCTTGTTGTTTTATTCGGTGTTGATGGGCATGTTTCCCAGCAGTACTGGAGACTAAATAGAGGAATCTGGTCCAGTAGGAGCTTAACTATATTATATTGTTACCCTTTGGTGATCTTTTACCAGAGTTCTATGAGTTCTTTGGGTTTTATCAGAGGGATTTGTCCTATTATTTTTTTCCTCACCTCCTTTGTTCCTTTTTCCCTTTTCCTTCCCCATAACTTGGGATCTGCCACCAACCTGCATCTGTCCGAGGAGGTACATAATTTTCAATCTCCCCCTTTTTACCTTGGATTCGTTTCTCGTCCTTAGGTGGGCTTTTTCTTCAGGTTTATTGGTGACAAAGAGCAATGTTGCAAATAATTATTTGCATATCCCAATATTTTGTCACTCGTGACCCTCTATTCAGTTTATTCTACACGGAGTGGTTTCTAAATTAATGCACTACTCTTCAGACTTGTTTTGGTCCTGTATGATTTGTTGGGCATTCAGAGCATTTGTTCATCAATTATATGCTATTTGATTGTGCTTTCCTCATTGGGGAACTGGCTATTGTTTGCTCATTCTGAACAGGAGTTTGCCTGTTACCCTTTTCAGCTGGAGGTAGTTATAATGCGCTGTTAATCAAGTTGGAGAAGTTCTTACTGTCCTTCTCCTTTTTGACTTTGTTTGATGGTTTTCCAGTTTGATTACAGCTCGCAAAGGCCCATATATGGGCCCTTTTATGGGCTTTTCATGACCAGTGGGATTTCACAAGGATCCTTTGTCAGCTCTTATTACCCTTTCTTCTACCCTCGTCATCAATTGGCATTGGTGGTTAGATATGACTCGCACATCGGTGGGTGTCCCACTTCCTCCTCCTTATCTGGTTTTCCACATTTCATGGATGCATCCCTTTGGGGATGAAGGATCGTGGGTTTATCAACTGGAAAATAAGAGGTTTTTGGTGTGCAGCTGTGAGGTTTTATCCAAACAACGTCCTGGAGCTTCTTGCTGTTGGTCATGTTTTGGTTCATTTTCTCCATCTGGCCAGAAATCGTTCATTATGACTTTTCTTCAGTGGTTTCTTATATCAATCACCTGTGTGGCACCCATTCTCCATCCCCCTGTATTCATATGTTGGATCTTCTTTTTGGGCCCACACGCTGGATATTCCTATCATTGCGTGTCATGTTCTGGGTGCTTTCTTTATTGTCATGGATCAAATTTCTATCCTGACAATATTACAATATTTATCCGATGGAGTGGTCTCTCGATCCTTTTGTTTTCCATGGGCTTTGACTTCAGCGGCCGTTTCAGCTGTGGTTTCTGCAGCTTCTCCAGCTCCAACTTCCTTCTCTGTTACCCTTTCCTCTGTCTCTGTCCCTTCTTCGACACCCTCAGTCACTGGTGTTTCATCCAGACCTTCTTGTCCTCCGTCTTCATGCCTGGTTTTTCTCTGGTCATTGGCTAGGTGATCCAGCTTCTCCCAATGGTTAGCCTCTTTACTGGCTTGTTTTGTTCACTCATACTTTTTATCCTTCTACATATCTTCCCCTTTCTCCAGATCGTTTTTCCTCCTTAAAACTTCAGTGGCTTATGAAGATAACTCGTCTGTTTAGCCACTTTCCCTTCCTTCCAATTCACACCTTTTCCTCATCCTGAACCAGATAGACTCATATGTCGTGTGAGTGCTCTCCTCTGTTGTATTGCCTGCACGGCTTCCCTCTGTGGTGTCCGTTCCCACATCTTTTTCCCTTGGTAACTGTCCTCTGTTCGTGTTCTTTCTCCTTCCTCCTCGTTCACCATTTGGTTTCGGCTCTTCATTCAATTGGCTTTTTCCTCTTTATCGTCTTCTTCCTGTACATTGTTCTCACCCAATTCGACACCTTACCTTTTCTTTGGCATTTCATCTTTATCATCCTTTGGAAGTACTTCTTTGATCAGGCATGTGGACTACTCGTGATATGTTTCATCTCTCACTGTTTGCATTGGATCATGGTTTTCTTCCTCTTTGGGTTATTTTCTTCTGACTATAGCCATTCCAGAATATCAGAATTCAGTGAGACTTTGACTGGGTAAGTTTTTTTTATCACTATTCTTTTCAGGGGCCCTTTTCCCTCTTATTAATGCTCATTGTTTAGATCCCACTCTGTGATGAGTGGTACCTGACCTGATGAGTGGTATTCTTTAACTGTTCAAATCCACACTGCCAAGCATACTTACATATTATAATTCCATGGCCACAGAACTCACACTATACAGATGGGGTGTTCCACAAGATCTCTTGTAGGTTTATCCTCATGATAGAATTACTTCACAAGTTTGTATGTCCCAGACTGTACTCTCCCATGGCCTACATTGGTAAAGCAGAAGGAGATAGCTACCTATCCCTGCCATGCCTTGTATTGAATAAATTGGTGTGGTCTGCTTTTAAAAATAAGTTGTTGTAGTCACCCATTGCACTGTCTCAGGTGTTGTTGTTCCTCCAGATTCTCCACTGCATTTTACCCCTCTTTTTCTTCTGGTGGGTTAATGAATGGGTTAATGACATACAAACAAAAAATAGAAATGATTATAAAACCATTCGGTTGGAGTACGGCGGTGGTGTTCTGTTGGTGTAGATGACGTGATATCCTCCAATATAAAACATAGAAACAAATGGGAGTGAGATTTCAAAATTGCAGTTCACCTCTTTGATTGTAATCCCTTATCCTACCACCATGTGAATGTCGGTTCCCAGTGGCTGAGTTTTGGATTTAGAGTAGAACCAATCAATATATGTCCTCATACATGTATTACAGATGTCTATATTCCTACCTCATTTTACTCCATCAGTGTTGTGGGGCCCAGTAGAGGTAATTGTGGATTGTTACAGTTCTTTCTTTTCCACTATCCTTCGATGTTTCTTTTTCTGAAGATGTTAATGTGCTTGGGGTGGTTCTGGTCAATTTCACTTTTGAGGGAGATGGTTTACATTATGTAGACATCTTTTTGATACCGGGTGTCGGGTTTCCAGATTGATCTATCAATTTATCATATTCATGTGTGCCCCCATTCATGAGTCTGGGGGTACTAGATTCCCTCCAGTCTCATGAACTTGTGGTGAAGATGGTATGATCCTCTTTTCTACCTCCACATGGATGTCGGTTCCTAGTGGCCTGGGTTTTGGATTGTAGTTGACTTACCAGCAGAATGATCCTCATCTTACCCCCATGCAGATGTTGGTTCCCAGCGGCATGGGTTTTGGATGTAGTTGACTTGCTGTGTAAGGTCCACTGCACTCTAGCCACTCTACACCTAGGGGCTCATCCTTTTCACTTTACCCATTTTTATAATTTCTGGGATTGAGTTTCATAAATATTGCATGGTTTGGATCACTTTCCGGCCATAGTTCTCTCCCAATTAGATGTGCTTCTCTGTTTTTCGGCCATGTATGCGACATCTTTCTACAATGGGCAAAAGTATACCTGGTTCAGAAGTGATGCAATTCCCCACATCAGATTCTTGACTCTCTAGTCTCAAGGTGTCCTTTGGATGCTTTTGATAGATGCATTTTTTGTTCCATCACACCAGTCCCTCCACCTATTCAATGTAGGATTCTAGCTATTTATGTGAGAGGAGGTAAGGTACCGTATTGGAAGTTATAATTTTCCTACACTGAAAATGTATTTCCATCTTTTGCCAAAACCCAAAGTGCTAATTAGGTAGAATTGAATAGAGGGAGTCGCATGCATCATGAGAGTATATCGCACTCTTATTGGTGGAGGATTAATGCATGATAATTTGTATGAGAGACTCATTGGAATCAGTCAATTCTAATGGAGGGGAGATAGAAGGCTTGTGGCATGCATAAAAGTTCTTTTTGCCTATAGAGGCAGTACTGAACAAGAAAAGCTATTTATGTGAGTGAAGGTAAGTACCTATTTAAATGACACCTCAGCACTTTTTATGGAGGCATCCACAAGAATGCTGAAATGTTGTCCAAGTTTGGTCTTTTCCAGGAAGACTGTCAGTCAGATGTACACAATATTAGGACATGATTAGCTCATCAAGGAGTTACATTATTTTTAGCTGCTCATATTTTATGTATGATCTTGTATAAGAATAAGTTTACTGTTAATGAAACAGCTATTGAAATATTTTATGAACTTTACATAGTTTTTAATACCTATTTAAGTAATTAGTACCTTGTTAGCTGTTGAGAGTGTATGCACATTGCCATTTGATCTCTTCTGTTTTCTAATAAACTGCTGTGGAAAAGTTAGTACATTGTTCAATTACACATTATGACTAGGTTAGAAGAATACAAGTAAAGTACATATTGTTTACAACTCATGAAAGATAATTTCTATTACTATTTAGGTTGTTTTGATTTTAATCCAGTGATAGAAGGTAGTACATGATCAGATCTTGAAAGATTACTAAAGTATCTTGATTAAATTGTAATTATGTCTGATAGCCATTCCTTTATTTCTTGTCAAATTGACTTGAAACCTGGTAGAGTTATATCTTGGTTCAATATGCATAGATACCTTTTTAATTTATTTGATTTAATTTTTTTTTAAGGATTTTACGAATTTGAAACACGTTTACATATACACCATGTCCTGACATGGATGTATCAACAGTGTAGCACTAAAAACAGGGTTAATCCTGCAACAGATACAATTAATAATTACAGCAAATCAAACACCAGTGAATGATCTACAGGGGCAGTGATATACCACTTGGAGTCCTAAAAAGGAATATTTTGGCCCCCTCATCTACCACCTAAAAAAATACTAATTGCAATATTTCCACAATACAGAAATACACCAACACAACATATACTATTAAACACACTGTTAAAAGTCATTTCCAATCACACAATAATACTATCATGCAGTATCTTTCTCAGATCATCCACACTGTATGTGTACTGCACTTAGCAACCAATCAGTGCACGTATACCACGTGAGTGCCTGACTAAGAAGTGTCATACTGTAATTTTTAAATATCCATCCATTACAGAGTTATGTATTTCTGATTGGTTTTAATTGAAAACCATTTTTTTTGTCAAATGAGTACAATATCAAATCAGACAAAAGTCAATGTTCTGATGGAAAAAAAAAATCTTCATGAATCATGGAGCCCTTAAACTGCCTGGGGCCCTAAGCAGCTGCTTATGTCTAGCTATGCTGCTGGAGTATTTACATTTGGTAACCAACTGCATCAATTTGTTTAGAAAATAAACAAATCATTTGTTAAATCAAGTTGTAAATTAAAGAGGCCAACATATGCTGATGAATGCAACATGTTTCCGCCATGCAATTCCAATACGGCCAATTCTGACACCACCAGAAAAATAAAAAACTGTATATATCAACTGCTTGGGACTTGCAAGAAGGTATCTTTGTATCAAATTCCATGTAAATTGGTTGAAACAAAAACCCTGAAAATTATAGGCTTATTTAACCCTTTGGCCTCCTTAAAATCTTAAAATGACCAGAAATTGGCATATCCCACATTCTTGTACGTATATGCATGAAACCTATAAAAAAAGAATCTTTGTTCCAAATCCCACGTAAATCGGTCAAAATACGGCTGAGTAATTGACCAAAAACCCAAAATTATGAAAATTTATATTTGTGTCAGTATTCATCTTGATTGCTTTGAATAAGACCACACAGGAGCCTAAAATATCCATTTTGATGTTGTTTGATCTTTGACCCCATTATGAGTACACACATAGTCTATGAGTACACACAGAGTCTATGAGTACACACAGAGTCTATGAGTACACAGAGAGTCTATGAGTACACACAGAGTCTATGAGTACACACAGAGTCTATAAATACACAGAGAGTCTATAAATACACACACAGTCTATAAGTACACACAGAGACTATAAGTACACAAGTACACACAGAGACTATAAGTACACAAGTACACACAGAGAGTCTGTAAGTACACACACAGTCTATAAGTACACAGAGTCAATTTTTAAGAATAGAAACTTTAGAAAATTAATTAAAATGATTCACGCCCCTTTCAAATTACCACTAACATCAAACTAACATTAAACATATAAAGTATTATTTTAAGTTGGAAAATGAAACTAGTTCCAACTAACTTATGTTTCTGCAGATCTTAAATAAACACATTTCAAAAATCAAGAGTCTCTTCATTAATTTCATTAAACTTTCTGAAAGTTTTAATTTGGATGTAAGAATCAAATGACAGTGCAAGAAAACCCTAGGAAAGGCTAAGGACATAAACTGGATGAAATTAGTTACACGACTATGTGTGTACTCATGGACTATGTGTGTACTCATGGACTATGTGTGTGTACTCATAGACTATGTGTGTGTACTCATAGACTCTGTGTGTACTCATAGACTCTGTGTGTACTCATAGACTATGTGTGTGTACTTTAGAACAAATATGCTGTAATTCTATTAAGTTATTATTAACAACTTAAAACAGTAAATTATTTTTAACTGTAATGTAAATTTAGAATCCTCTGTATTACATTAGATCACTTTATGCTTACCTTCCTTACTTTCTCTTTAATTTGTAACTATTTAGAATTGCGACGAACTTCAGAAGGCCATTCCCCCTCTCCAAGTAGACAACTGCTTTACCAAAGTCCTAATATTGACCGATCACGTGAAATGGAAGGTAAGTTGGGAAAACTATGCATATCACATTTGTATGGATTTAGTCAGTGGACTTAATGTATGTTAGACAAAGCCAATATTATAGACTTAAGTTTAGTCACTGAACTTAATGTATCTTAAAACCAATACTGTAGACCACAGCTTAGTCACTGGACTTAATGTAACTTAAACAAAGACAACATTATAGACTGTAATTTAGTTACTGGACTTAATCTAACTTAATCAAAGACAACATTATAGACTGTAATTTACTCACTACACTTAATCTAATTTAAACAAAGACAACATTATAGACTGTAATTTACTCACTACACTTAATCTAACTCAAACAAAGACAACATTATAGACTGTAATTTATTCACTGGACTTAATCTAACTTAAACAAAGACAACATTATAGACTGTAATTTATTCACTGGACTTAATCTAACTTAACCAAAGACAACATTATAGACTGTAATTTACTCACTACACTTAATCTAACTTAATCAAAGACAACATTATAGACTGTAATTTACTCACTACACTTAATCTAACTTAAACAAAGACAACATTATAGACTGTAATTTATTCACTGGACTTAATCTAACTTAAACAAAGACAACATTATAGACTGTAATTTACTCACTACACTTAATCTAACTTAAACAAAGACAACATTATAGACTGTAATTTACTCACTACACTTAATCTAACTTAAACAAAGACAACATTATAGACTGTAATTTACTCACTGGACTTAATCTAACTTAAACAAAGACAACATTATAGACTGTAATTTACTCACTGGACTTAATCTAACTTAAACAAAGACAA